ATAAGGAATTCCTCCTAGAAATGTGTAATCAGCCCTGCTATTGGATCTGCAAGGGAGCCAAAAGGAGTTAAAGAGTAAATGTGAAGGCAGTGCTTACATACTGTCTTTTATGCACTCAAATAACAAGGATTTTGTCTTCTGAAAAGACAGACGAAACCTAAGCAGCAATGAATGTTGAGTGTAAAACTGATAGAGAACTTAAGTGATTCCTGCAACCTGCAGTTCTCTCAGGAGCTAAGGACGTCATTGTAATAGCCACAAGAGACTAAAAATGTAATATATGTAAGGAGAAGCAATGTGCTGTGTGAACAATTGATAAAGCTGAAAAACCCAGACATATTTGGGGCATACAAGCCCTTCCTCACATCTCTGACTTCTCTGGACACTTTAATAACTAATCCCACACATTTCATCTTTACATTGAGAAATAAAGAACAGCAAATCCATTTGCTGAAGAGAATAAATGTGAGAAACTACCAAAAATGAGCAAACAGGAGGCCCTTTTATCACTAAATGCAGCATTTCAGAGCTAGAAAACTGAAAAAGCAAGAGCAGGCTTACATGACATATTAGCCACAGCTCTTCTGGCTGTGAACACAAATATGCCATGTCCTCTTATTCAGGTGCTGGAGCACAAGCTGAAGATTATGTGACAGAACTTTTTGTGTTGGTCCTATTCTAAACTGGATCCACTGATTTTAGTTAAGGTACCAAGGGAAAAGAGACACTCTGCCTTTGTTTTCCAGATGCAGTACAATTGCCCATATTTCTCTGAGGGGAAACTTAAAGTGCACTTCTTGAAATTCGGGCACCTTTAAAACTTAAAACCCACTTCCAATATTTAACTAACTATGAATTTAATATAATGAAAATTAAAGAATCAGTTGTTATAACAATTTATTCTAGATGTGCTCAAAGTTTGGAATCTTTTCCCACGAGCTGGAATTATAGAAGAATTAAACAATCAAGTCTTCTAAAAATCAAATCTGTTACTTGTATGTGTAAATACAATTAAGGGTCCTAGTATTGTTCTACATTCTTTAAAAAAATTGGGATCACCAAGAAGAACCCTCTCCCCTCCCTAGCAGCTGATGTGTTGAAGAACTGCAAATTCCTCCACTGTTTCTACTGCTGTGACCTTCATTATTTTGGGATCTCCTAAAAACTTCCCAGTAAAGTGTGGATTCCTGGGTAGAGACTTTAAATCCAAACCAAATAAATTTGCTTTCCACATGTTGAAAGCACTGCTTTAGATATAAGGAGCAATATAAGTACCTTTGATTTACGGAACAGAACTTCGTAACTCACAAAGTTATAAAGCAGGTGTGTTTCTTGCAGCGTCAGATGCTAGGGGGGTCACTCCTCCTAACTCGCATACCGAGAGCTCAACAAGCTAGATATTTATTACACACAAACATACATATTCATTAGATTTCACAAGCATAGGAGGGGATTTTTCAGAAGGGGAGGAGATTGTTACAACTAGTTCTAAGAACTCATTAATATCATTCCCCTCCCCTCTACGCCTGTGTACTGCCATCTGGTGGTCTTGGGCGGTGGTCTTCTGGATGAAGTAAGAGGTCTTCCTTGCCATGCACTTTTCACCCTTGGCACAGTTTCACCAGCTGGCAACTTCAAGTCTTATAGAGACTAGTTGAAACAGGTTCTTTTCAGACATTCATCTTCTTGAGAGAAAAGGGTCCCTGATTTTGAACAATGTGTTTCGGCTACCTATTCTATTCTGAGTTATAGTTTAACCACGACTAGCAAGAACAAGAACACACCTGTTCCCTATACTAAGTTAAGTCAATCAATACATAGTTTGAAGAAAACAACCTGTTCCTTAGTCCATTACTATTCCTCGCATCATCTTCAAAAGAATAGTAACAGAAATATTTCCAGTGCAAGCCAAAGTGATGCTGTATGTTTATCAGCCCATCAATGGTATTCTAGACTCACACCCAAAAATTAATCAGAGAGAAATTGTGCTTTCAGGCTGCAGAGGGCTTTGACATCTCCACGACGAAATGTTTTCTGTTTATGTTTGGCTAGCATTTCACCAGGTCGGATACACTTCTTGTGTTCACTGACTTGCACCCAGAAATGTCATTAGCAAAAAAAGCTTAAGTGGATTCCTCCTACATCTGATTGACCACAAAGCTTGAGAAGTGGTTGCCTTTGCTTCCTCTTCTGCTGGCTCCAGCTAATAGCCTGCTCCCATGTGTTCAAAGACATAGGGACAAATTCTGCCTGAAGTCAGACTGGTGAATATCTATTGATTTTAATGAAGTTTTGACAAGTCAACCTGGAAGAGAACCTTCTGTGCCCCCTGAACACTTGAATGCATGTTGTAAACTTAATCTACACAAAATAAATAGCCTCTTAGAGACCATTATGGCTACTTAAAGGAGTAGGATTATATTTGTTTGTACAGCTAATCAGTGTTGCAGTCCCTGCTAATGTTTCCTATAGGAGTGTTAATCATGATTGTTCTGATTATAAGCAATTGTTTTAAAAAAAAAGAAACAAAACCACGAAGCAAACAAGATAAATACTCTTCTCTGATATTCAAACTGAAGATGAAAGGGAAAAAGACTAATGGTCATCACTCCATTGAGTGCTAATATTCATCTTAAATTTTTGAGAGACAGCTCATATGATGCTGTTTGAACAGCCTTTTCCCTTTTTCTGAAAACAACAAAATCTTTTCAAATAGCTTATTATTTTGAAATGTAACACTTACTTGTAAAGCACTTTTCATCTCCAGAGCGACATCATGGACCTGTGTGGATCACACCAGCAAAGGATCTGGCATTGCCCCTGATTTCTTTGGTGTCCTAAATGCATCTTGCAGGACAGGAACCCATTACTGCCTCCACCACCAAATACAGTGCAGCCCTCAAGGTAGCTGGATTTGATCATGCTGTTTTGACAGGCAAGGAACCTGGTGCAGGTAGCTCTGTGCCCAAGGTAGCAGAGGAAGTCTTGGCTAGTAGTGGGGCCTACAACCCATGAAATCCTGGTTCTGGTCCAGGGATCACAACCCTAGCCAAAATCCATCTCAACACTCCAGTAGTGTGATTACTGCAGACAAATCATTTTGTTCTTCCTCACACCAGTCCCAGTGCTACAAAACCATGAATGTGGTTAAGGAAAACATACTTCAAGCATGTCACTGATTCAGGGCTGGCAGTGTTACAAGCACCATACTATTTATCTTCCTTGCAAGTGAGAAAAAAATCCTGGACTATTTTCTTTCCATAGAAACTACAGAACAGAAGCCAACACAATTAACAAAAAGCACTGGTATCATGTGGACAAAAACAGGGCACACACTCAGCTCTTTCTTCAGCCATTCAGTCTAATAGGAATATGCCTGTCTGCGGACCACATGACTGGGGTCAAAGACTGGATTTAATATATCCACAGCCAAATCATTTTCACAAGGGAACTGTCAATTACCAGTGCAAAACAGAAAAGATGCTGATTACCCGGGCTAAACTCTGCTCTTGTTTGTGTCAGAGCAATATCCCTGATTACACTTGCTTTCATGCGACTGTGGGTCGAGTGTGGCTCTGTCTCCTTAGTTCCCTGGTTTGTTTTTGAACCACAGGAACAACGCTTTGAGATAGCTACTCGGACAATTGCTAATGGTAGGAAAATCCAGTTCTTCTGACATAAAGGCATTGTAAATACTGGAAGAAATCTGTGTTTTATGTTTATGGTGTACAATGCCTAAAGCCTTATCTCTCATTCTGTCAGTAACCAAGAACTATGTATACAGATAGTGCAATTTATTATGTTCTGTACTGTGACCAAGTGCTGAAATACCTTCAGGAAATCACCAGAAAGCCTGAAAAGCTTTGCTGTCCCTTGTGACTCCAGCTCACTAAAACTATAATTGAATGAGCACAATATACTGAGCACTGCGTGTTACACAGTAGACTTACAAATAAGGACACCATTTTTTCAGCATCATTACAGAAAATATATTTGCTGTACAATTACTGCCTATACCCATGGTCATAATGTCTCTGCTTTTCTGTATTCTGCATTACAAAGCCACAAGAAGGGGACTTAAAAATAAATGTCAAGGCTCAATAAGTCTACCTCAGCTCAGGTGTAACTCCATTAAATTCCACTACGCTGCTTTCATTTGTAAGACATTGTTGGGCCTGATAGTCCTGACATTTAAACCAGTGTCTGTTGGGGCTGAAATGAATGGAGATATGTTGGTGTAACAGTGATATGAAAAAGAATTTTAGCCCTGTATCAGCTGAGAAGTTAATGTATTTCCATTCCTGCTTCACTGAGCAGATTCTTATGAAACTGATTATTAAAGTTGGCCCACCAAGTTCAAGAAATACAAAGAAAAACTAAAATCCATGTTCTCAAACTCATTCATGTCTGGGTATGAAATATAAAGACTGGGTCCAACATTTTATTCAAACCCTGATTTGAATAAAATGTTTTTGATTACTGCATTCAAAACACTGAAAATAGGACCCCTGTGCCACTGATCCAACCACAGACGTTTATGGTCATTGTGATACACACCAGTACAAGCCAAACTTGCCGCAACGGCCACCATTCACACGGAGCAGGTGTTCTGTGGAAGGTGCTCTGTGGAAGCAAAACCATCTTCATCTCCGATTTTCTCCTGTTTCCGTTTTGTGGGGCCTTGATATTGGCGGATGCTTCACCCACTTTCCCCCAAGCACTGTTAAGCATTTCCACTTGCTTTGTTTCTACAAAGAAACACGAATGCCATGAAACATCTTCCTTATTACATCCCGGAGTCACCTCACAGCCTGGGGACGCAGCAGAGAAAACTCCTGCTGGTCACGGGACAAGACCTTGCGTCACTCTGGGGAAACGAAACAAATCAAACCACCACCACCACGACAACAACTAGGCCAGAAAAATACAACCCAAAAGCCACCTGGTTGCAGACTGGGATGGAGCTCCTCCAGGACGCGGGGGTGCCGGCCTATCCCTTTATCTCCCCCTGGGCCCGGGCCCCCTGCTGAGTGCGGGAGCGGCTCCTCTCTGGCCCGCCGGAGCTCTCCGGCCTGCCATGCCCGGTGCCAGCTTCGCAGGGAATGAGCGGAGGGCAGCCCCCACCGGGAGGAGCTCGGGCGGGGAGGGAGAGACGAGGGAAGCCAAGCGCGCAAGGGACTGCACGATGGGCTTGAAAAATCACTGCACCAGCGTCGGAGGGCAAGGGGGAGAGAGAATCCCCGGGCTGGGCAGCCACGCCGCTCTCTCCGCCTCTGCTGCCGACTCCGGCAGCGCCCCCAGCATTGCCCGGCCCCTCTACCCCCGAGCCCGGCTCCAAACTTTTTCAACCGCCCGCTCCCCGCCGGGTCTGAGGGAAGCCCGGGCTCGGCGGTGAGCGCCGGCCGCGGAGCCCCTGCGCGGGCAGGCTGCTGGGGGAGCACCCCGGGGCACGAGACGCGGCTGGCGGGAGGCAGGCGGGGCGGGGTGGAGGCACGGCTCACAGCGGAGCCAGCCGCCACTTGCAGGGCGTTGGGTTTTCCAGACCACCCATTCCCCTCCCCACCCGCCCATCCCCCTGCCTCCCCCCCCCCCCCCTTCCTTCCCTCCCTCTCTCCTTCCCTCCCTCCTCTGCAGAATTAAAGTTGGGACAGTCGCGCTCCGGGGATGGGTGCGAGCCAACGCCTCTGCTGCCGGCTCGCTCTGTTCCCTCCCCAGGTCGCCCGGAGCCCGCGCCCCGCCCGCCCGCCCAGGAGGGATGCTGCTCCGGGAGCTGCTGGGGCTGCTCCGCTGCTGCTGGCCCTCCCTGCTGCTGCACTGTGCCCTCCACCCGCTCTGGGGCTCCGTACAGGTAGGGATGCCGCAGCCTGCCCGGAGCGGTGCCGGTACCGGGCGTGGGGCAGCGGGCTGAGCGCCGGCGGCACCCCCGGAAGCGTGGGGAGCCACGGGCGGTGGTCGCCCGGGCTGCCCCCCGAGCGGGCAGAGCTGTTGCTCTTCTCGGCGTGGTCTCCCCTTCGGCCGCTGCTGCGGGACGGGGCACGCGAGGGGTGGGCGGCGGGCGCCGAGCCCCGGGAGCGCTGAACTCGATGTTGCTTCTCTGAGCAAGATGTAGTTGAGTTTCTTCGGCGTGCCGGCAGGCAGGAGCTCGCAAGTGCGTTTTGCTGTAGGTGGCAAGATGCGCAGAAAGAAGCAGTGCATGGAGCGAGGCTCCGACAGTCTAATTTTGGTAATGTTTTGTCGTGGGTTTTCGATGCTGGTTGCGAATTGAGAGTTCTCTGAGTAAAGGGCTGCATCAGCTTCTGCCAACTCCTGCGCTGTGATGTTGTGTGACCTTGATTGTAATGTGGGGTGACTAGCAAGATGAACTGGGGAAAATTGGTATACTGTGAGGGAGAGCACCCATTCAGTTCAGAGAATCAGAACGGCAGCAAAGCTCAACTCACATGTGTCACTTTGATATTTTAAAGTTTATTTATAATATATGCCTTCAGAGAAGTGACTGATGAGACAGTCAGGTGCTGTTCAGGAGCAGAACAATTACAGTTTCTTTCTTGGAGAAAACACAGTGGAGACTCCACGTCCTTTACTTGCTGTTCTAAACTTGGTGACTCCCAAGAGATTAAAGAGAGATGTTGTTTGGTTTGGCATCTTGTCTCTTACCATGAATTACAAAGAGGATTTGCGCTCCTTACAGACTAAAATGAACATACATACAACAAAACAACCTCATTTAAACCAATGCCCCCATCATAAACGTCTTTGCCAGAGCTACTATTGTGCTGTCCTGCTCAGGATTCAGGTAACTAAGCTTAAGTTAAAACTGTAACTTCATTTTTAAAGGAAGGGCAGTTGTGTAAAAGGAGAGGTATTCTGCAACCTCTCTCCTGTAATCAGTCAATCAAGCCGACAAAAAAAAAAAAGCATAAACATCTTTCTGCCAAACTACTCAGATGATCTAAGCCAATCTTTCAAAGATAAGTACATTTGTAATAATTTGAACTGCCAAAGTGAAATGGCAAAGCCAGGGGGCCCAGCCTTTCCTTGCAATAATTTGGAAGTTTTGTTGTGGCATTCATCAACTGTACTTGTCCTGTTGCTTGCTATTCTGTGGAAGGGCAATCAAGACAAGTGCTCATACTCAAGTTTGTTTCCAACTGTCCCAAAACTACAATGTAGCTAGGGCTTCCATCAGCAGGTACCAATGAGAAGGGCAGGTGTGGAGGGCTCACCAGCATGCCGGCCCTCCTGAGACCGAAACTCCCTCAATCTTTGAATTCCTCCCTTGATTCTGTTCTCCATATGGAGTCATAATCCTTGCTCTATCTTCAGAGTCTCACAAGCTGTACTCTACTGATTCGGTAATGTGAAATCGTGTTGTGTCCCTGCTCCATTTATAGCAGCCAGTGTATTTTCTCATGTCTCTTCTTGCAGTCCCTCTTAACCCATTCATCCATGCAATGACCTATGTGTGGCATAGCTTTCCCTCCCACATCTTTGCATTCTCTCTTCAGGCCCTTCCTTGAGGCACTTAAGAGAGTTAGCCAGGTGCTAATCAGAGGGGAAATATTTATCTTATTAAAAAAAAAACCCTGAAAACAACAACAAAACCCAAACCCAGAATCTTTTCTTATTAGCATCATAGCCGGCACTGTGACAAGAAGGAAGGGATGATTCTGCCTGAGACTTTTGACATAATTAAAAAAAAGAGCAGTAAGTGTCATGATAAATAACATTTTTTCTGGTTTCATAAACATGGATCTGCATTAACTCTGATGTGAATTATGCAGAGCCATCCCGGGATTTACGCAGCAGTGTTGAGATCTCATCTCTGTAGGCTGCTTCCAAGAGACAAAGCTCTTGCCACATCAGCAGGCTTTTAGAGATCTCTGTGCCTTTTCAGTCAACTGCACTTTTCTTTTCAAGCTTTCTTTCTTTTACCTGATTTAAAAAGTCACAAAAGGGCCACCCTCAGGGGACTGTTATTAATCCTCTTTTCCCATCCCACTCTGTAGAGCATGCTAGTGGACTGCTGCAGCCCTATGGGACTCTACTGAAATACTAAACAGCTCTGACGACATGCAGATTTAATCTTCCACTCTCTGCAACACAGGCCTAGGACCACCTCCTGAAGGAAATCTCTTATTAGAAAGAAAGGCATCACAAGCACAAACTTCAACAGAAAGACTGCAAAAGGAAACCACCAGTTACCACTTTGTTTTCTTTTTCCCTGGACGTTTGTGGATCACTTTCGTTTTCATGAATATTTAAAAACATTTGTCCTTTTTGCAAAGCATATTCATATTAAATGTACAAATCTATGATGTCATCTCTTTGTATTTTCAGGGAAGGGCAAAAAAGGCATTGACTAGAAATCCAGGCAACATGTATGTCCAAACTAGCCAACTGCAGAGTGTGTTAAGAAAGCCCCATGCCAAACAAGAAACCAAATTTTAGACAGGCTGAGGAGACACCTGTTTATGGCTGGAAGGTGCAGAAGTAACTAGGGAGCAAGCCCTGTGTGGTCTGTTGCCATAGATGACCCCTTGCCAGGGCAACTTCTGTGCTACGAACAGCCAAGTGGGTGTCTGGTCAGTTGTTATCTGCAAAGTGCTCCCAAAGCCATTCTGGGGACATGGTACCATCCAGCAGAGCAAACAAGCAGTAAAGTCTGAGGCTGGACCTGGATTAGCAGACCTGGCCAGAAAAAAAATGAGGCTCTTTCAGCGTGCCTTTTTTCTCTTGCCATCTCCTGTAAAGGCAGCTTACCTTGAATCGCAGATAGTAAGAAAGAAACATGGGTTAATTTATTTCATCATCCTCTGCCAGAGCAAGATTGTTCCCTAAAGCATAATTTCTAGTGATTTCCTCTGCTTACCTTTAGAAAACCAAGTAATAGCCTTCATTCCTTTCATAAGAAGACTAATAGACATCAACAGTGGGATTTTTTTTTGTTGTTGTTGTTGAAAAGGAGCCAGATGTCTTTTTTTTTTTTCTCAATTCCATCTGTTAATCTTCTTGCGGCAGGCCTTGACAGTTTCTCTTCTCCTCAAGGCCCTCAACCTTTATTCAAGTCTTTCCTCTTTCAGCCAACTTACAGTATCTTTGTTATTTTAAATTAACCCACTAAGACAAGCCCCTGGCAAGGTAGTATCTATGTAGTATCTGTGTAAAAGGTAATACAGGTATCTTCTAACAACCAGGCATTTTACTGAATGAACAAGAGAAGGGGAAAAAAAGAGGTGATAAAGCCCATGCTTTTAGATGTCAGTTCTTTCGCAACCTTTTAAAAGTGGTGATAAAGGTTTGGACTAAGGTGCTGGGAGACAAAGCAACTTTTTTCTTTCACCCCCCCACCCCCTCCCCCACCCCCAGAAGTAGTATTTTAAAACTACAGAGGAGCAGGGAGTGGCTGGGCATGTATAGAGTTAATCTTGTCTGCAGAGTAATTGAGAAAAATATCCACCGGTTTCTGAGGCCACGCTATTACCAGCCTAAGGTAGGAGAGCCTCCAGCGATTTAAAAACAGTCAATAGTGCTAAAAAAAGACAGAGCAAGCCTTTGGTTCTGGTTGATATTAAGTTAGAGCAATAAGTCAATGTAGCTTTTCCATACCAGCACCGTCTTCAGGCTTACATACACAAAGCTGATTCTGGTCTGTAAATGAAGCTGACTCCAAGTCTGCTCACTGTTGTTCCTCCCTGGCTCTATCCTCTCCCACTGCACTGGCTCCTGTAAGACTGTAGCAAGCCACAGGATTCATCAACTGGGCAATTAGGTGGGGGATGGTCACTGTAGCTAGGAATTGATAGTTGCTTCCTAATCAGATGCCAGGGCCAGTGGAAGGATGTTCCCTTGCCTCCTCTCTCAGTACAGTAAATGTGGTCATACCAGTACAATTAAGAGGTAGCCCAGGTATGCCACTGTCACCACATGGACTGGGCACTCTTCCTATGGGGCTGCTCTTGGGAGAGTCCCCAACACCCCAACCTAGCATGTGAACCGTGTTGGAACAGCTGGAGCAGTATGGAGGATATTCTGCTGTGCCTGTGATCACTTACTTTAAAAATAAATAAGCCTGTTTAGCAGACAGATTACCAGCCATGAGGGATTATGAAGCCGAGTCACTTTGATTCATTAGAGCGTTCAGAGAGTTTGTGTAAATTCCTGGAGGCTGTCTGGGATGGTCCTTAGCCATCCTCTTACTGTTACCTGATGGAGAAAGGGAAAGTTGGAAAGCACTTGTACTGAATTTGTTTCTCCCTATGTTTGGTAATAGATTTTGACAAGCTGTTTAAAGAACTGAGCCTACTGATTTGTGCTGTGCTTCCAGCTCAGCTGCACATAGCCTTCTCTACTCTTTCCTCCCTCTCTATAATATTTAATCAACAAAGCCCTACCTCCATTTCCCTGAGGCCACAGTAATGCGTCTTTCTGCATTTAGAAACCTCCTACACATGTGAATATGTCCTTTGTGCAGTGATGTTGTTTTAATTAGCCATGTCTCTTTTTGCCCAGAAATGCATGAAATGACTGTGTACAGTTTTCCTGCAGCAAAGAGGCAGCACAGCACCCTTGGTGCCCAGCGGCAGGTGGTGGTAGAGGCTGTGCTGGGATCTGGTGGCTAAGATTGAAAGGGGAGAGGAGACAAACTGTGTTCCTGGAGCTGGCAGGGGAAGGGAAGCAAAGCTTGGGCAGGAGAGAGGAGGGCAGAGAAAGTAACCCTGGGCAACCCTGGGAAAAAGCAGGGTCAGAAGAGGTCAGAAAACATGGCACAAGATATCCTCTTTGTAACAACCAACATGTTGTAGAAAAGAGCTAATTAAAGAAGGTAATGTTAGGACAAAACTGCTAGGACTATAATATGCTCAAGACCAAACTGTACAAGACAATGGTTAAATGCTAACATTACTGTCCTTAGCTTCAGACACAAGTCTGTCCCAGGTGGCCTCCTAATGCTACATTCAAAGTAATAGATAACATGCTTAGTCATCTTTTAGACTTTTTCTCCTTAAAACTGTGCACAGTATTTTCCATCTGAGTATCAGTCCATTCAAAAAGAGCTGGCTTAGAAACTGCTGAAGTTAACACCTCTCAGAAGCTCCTGTGATATTCAGCAAATATCCTTTTCATCAGGGATTTACTCCATTTGTAGTGTTAGATTAGGAATTTTACTGAATATTCCTTAAATCCCTAGTTATGTAAATAATACTGATGGTAAGAAAAATATGCTGTTAACGACTAGATCAAACTATTAAATTGTATACCAGTCATGGCTAAATCATTGTCCATTGCAAAGCGATGCCTACACTTGGGTTCTGCAATGCCTCATCTTCAGCTTTATTGCTAGACAACACTGCCTGTTGAAAAGGCTACAAGTCACAGTTTGTGGCATTTTCATTTTGACCGTGTCATTGCTGTGGAGTGAATTGTGGGCTCCTCTCCTCTTGGTGGGAAGTGAAACACCCTGTGAAATGCTCTCTGAACATCAAAGGAGGCTGGCAAAGCAGAAGAGAGATCTCCTCTGGCTTTCAGTTCTGCCGTAAGGAAAATGAACATAATCCTGACCCAAACTGTCATGTGATTTTTATTAGCTCTCTTGGCTTGCAGCAATGACCCTGTGAATAATGTATGCTGCTAGATGGCTTTCCTAAGGAAAGAAGGCTTACTCAATCATAATGTCTGCCGCTACCTGCCTTCTACTTACCCCATAATAACTCAGAAACCAGCTGGCCAATTTCAACCAAGTTTGAGGGAGGGAAAGTGGTCTTGAAGATAATTGTGTTAAGTAAAAAAATAAAAATAAAAAATGGGGACCGTGTAGGGAAGAGACCTCTTTGTAGTGTCTTTAGGGAGGAACGTGAGCACAGTTCTCACACAGGTCTGAAGTGCCCCTTGGGTATTCAAGTCCAAGAAACACATTCATGGAAAATCAATTTTCACTGTTTCTGCTGCTCATGCAATGACTTGTTTCTTCACAGATCACTCAGGGTGAGCCCCAGAAGTCATGCTCCAAGCCTGGAGCAGAGAAAGTCACAGAGAGCTGCCAACAGATTTGCCAGTGCAGGTTACCACCACTGTTACCACCACCTCCTCCACCTCCACCGCCCCCGAGGTTGCTAGTGGTGCCAAGTAAGTAGCCACTGGTACAGTTGTGGTGCACTGAGGGAGGGCAAAGCAATGGGGATGTTTGGACGGACGGAAGGAGAAAGGATGTGGGAGAGGACACAGTTAGCTCATCTTTCATTTTCCACTTAGCAGATGAAAATGTTCTTGGTAGAGATGGAGGTTTGTTTTCTGATCAATGAATAATGCTTGGCTTTTGGAGGAAAATCAGCAAAATTCCCTTCTTTCACTGTATTGTATGTGATTCCCTAGCTTTAAATGGTTCTCTAATACCCTAGCCCAAGGAAGTACTTTGCTACAGAGATACAGCACTAATTTCCCCTTGAGGTACCTGGCCTCCTGTTTTGCCAGGTGTGCAGCTTAAATGTCTGGGTGCTCCAAAGCAAATGAATTTATAAGCAGGAAACATTCAAACGCTCTGACTAGACGATCCTGCAGGTTTGGCTGTCTTTGAGACACTGGACCTCTACTGTTTTACTATAGCAGTGAGTCACATGAACTGATTTTACGTTGCTTGTAACTCTAACAGAAGTCAGAGGCATGTCGGTAGTCAATGGCAAGTAAGCAGTTTTCTCACTAATGCATATACAGGCTAAGAGTCATCTATTGCTCTTCATACAAATCAGTGCTCCCAGCCTTTATCCAGCCCACCCGAGCTCCTGCTAATTTCCAGCTGTGCATTCCCATGTCCAACACACATTGTGTCTGCAGTTCCTGCCGGCTAGCTGGGCCAGTTTTCTTCCACATCAGTATTCCTGTGATCCCTGACACGCAGATCCTTTCTGGAGAGTGATAACTGTGCCAGTGGTCCCCAGAGAAACAGTCCCTCTGCAGTGCAGAGCTGGGTGCAGGGAGGTGGACTGAACCTTGCACAGACACTTTCAGGTCCCGGGTGTTTCGTATTCCAGCAAATCTCCTTAATGTCTCTGTATTTTCACAAATTGGTCTCTCCCTAAAAGGCTGCCTATTAATTCTTCACTTTGCTTAGATAAACTCCCCTGGGAACAGTGTTGCAAAATGTATCTAGCATCCTTCTCAGCGCTTCCCAAAGGGAAAATAAATCATTAGGTAGCATCATTCAGTTGTTTGTCTTTATTAGCATCATCCCCAGATGTGCAGAAGACACGAAGAAGGCTTCTGCACAGCTTTTAGGCCATTCAGAATTTGCAGTGTGTTTTCTGTCAGGAACGTGCTTCATGTTTGTGCCATGATGCAGAAATTTAAGGCTGAGGCCAGAAAAAAATAACAGTGAAACACTTGGGAAAGGAAGTACAAAGACAGCTTGGAAAGCAGAGATAAAGGTTATTTATAGCAGGAAAAATCTCTTTCAATGTTCAGCAAAATGTCATGAAAAATAATATTGAATATTCCCTTGATCTTTGTCTCACAGTCAGAAAATGAAGTACTTTGCCAGTCTTTTTTCTTTTGCCTGGGGTACCCCGTTGCTGTGAGGGATCTGTGTGGCAGAACAACGTTGGCACAGGGACCAGCCCTGCTGCTCAGCTGTGCTGGAGGAGGGCACCACTGCAGGCTGCCTCCCTCCCTCCCTGGGCTGCCATCAGGCAGCTGCTCTGAGAGTGTGGATTTGTCCCCTGTGAAGTGGGAAGGAAATCATACCAGAGAAAAAGAACTCTGTCATGCGCTGCAAAAAGAGGAAAGAGAAATCAAATGGGCCTGCCACTGGGGTAGCCTGGTGCTTACTCAGGCTGGATTGCCAGGTGCTAACCCAGTTCTAGAAATGAACTATATAAATCCAGATGACTAATATTTAAATAAGTTATTTCATTTTCAATGCAATGTAAAAAAAAAAAATAGATTACACATTCCTTTCACCAGTAAGCTTTAGAGTAGCAATCATGTGCCTCATCTAGAAAGATGCTTTCATTATTGTCAGTTGTCTAGGCACTGTGATTTAGCCCATATGTACAGCAATCCCCGTCCTTGTGAGAATGAGCAAGCCTCATGGTTAAATATTGATGTTACAGACACCGCTTTTAAACAGCACTCAGAGGAGAGAGCAGTAAAGGGACAAGACAAGCTATTATTAAGTAGTTGATACCAGACTTGCACCTCGCACTATTTAAGTGATTGAAGTACTAGAAAGACCTCTATAAAAAGCAGTGGCCCAGGAGTTGCAATTTTTTTGCTTTTATGAGATAACAGTGTATGTGCCATGAGGCACTGCATAAAGATGCTGGCATTGCTCTTTCAGCTTTGTGAGCCACAAAAGGCTGCAGCCTGCTAGGTACTGTCCTTAGAAGCTCTTTTTGCAATCAAACTGAATGTTGTTGGAGGTTTAGATCATCTGTACATCCTTCTAAAACAGCTACTTTGTTTTGGGCTTGACGATCAAAGCCAATAGATTAAAAAATTCCTGTCTATCCAATTACTACAGACACTGACAGCTCAGTTATATGCTAAATGAAGTCATCTGGGTTTCTTCAGTGTGTGTCCTGTCTGGTCTCCAGCTGCTGCTATAGAAGAGCATGAGACCCTCTTTGTGTCCTCTCTCAGTCCCACGTGAATGTTTTGCAAACCCTTGTTGGATGTATGGGATGGTACTAGGTAACTATGAGCAGCTGAATGACTCCCTGAAAGGATTTTATTGTGCCTGGGAACTTTCAGGAGAAATTACAGTGCATTTAGTGCGTCTTTAGACATTTTGATATTGACAGCTTGATCTGGCTACAGATCTTTAGCTCTGCTTCCTGCAGATAGATAAATACAAAATCTGTCAGATGTGAACTCCAAAATTCACGAATAATAACTGATAAATGCTGTGTGTACTTTGGAGGACAGTAAGCTAATTCTCTCCACAGAAAATGAGTAGAATCACGCACAACTTAGGAGTCAGTCTAAATACATGAGTGGTGGTAGAAACGCCAACTTTCAAAACAAATGGTAAGGCATCTCAACATTACAGTCACGTATTTACAACAGGAATGTGTGGGGTGTGTTTCAGTGCACATATCCTTCATACAACAGTGTGAATATGGGAAATTAAATTAGATCATGTGGCCCATGTATTTCCAAATATTGACAACGAAATAATGGACTGGTGAATTCAGAGACTGCCTCTGTCACCAGAACTCCAGGACCCAGGGGAGAAAGCATAGACTGGTTTTGTCCTCCTTCAGCCATAGCTCAGGCCTCGTTTTCCCATGTTTCTAACTCCTTTGCACAAACCACTGGCATTTCTGATGTCCCTTCCAACCGCTGTTCTTGCCTTCACTGCATCCAATATGTAGTTGTCATGGAACTTTCCCTCATCACAGTGTATCCATGTGCATCCACCTCACTAAGCAGAGGACTCCTGGTCTGCCCCAGTGAATCCATCTGCTTTACGGTGTCTAAATGGAGGCTAGGATCTGCCACGCTGGTCCCTGTGGATTGCTAGTTCAGCCTTGCCTTTTTCTGTGAAGTGGGACACACGGAGCATTTCAGTTTTGAGTTTCCCAAGATTCTTTTGAGATGCAGCTTGTTAGCATCCTGCTGATGTCTTGTTTGGTATAGATGTGTACCTTTATTGAGGGTCTTCAATGAGAGGGGCTCCAGCCCGTGGTAGAAGTAACTAGAGTGGTGGGGACTGTCAGGAGACATGGTCACTGACCCAGTTGCGGTTTCTCCACTGTGTGGCATATTGATGTTTTTGCAGTAACTCTTCTTATGCAAGCCGCAGCCTGCTCTTTAACCTGTGCCTAGAAAACTGCTCGTTGATGTAGTGAAGGGAAAGCTCATGAAGGTTTGAAGGGCTAAGGCCAAATAAGCTTATATTCTGACAGCAAAGAAAGAAGGAACTTTAAATGAAATTGAGTCTGTTCCCTATATGTGGCTGTAATGACCTGAATGGAGATAAAGAACTTGGCCTTTAATTAACTGTGTCTTTCCCCTCCTCCATTTGCTTTCCTCTTTGTCTCTGGATTTCAGACAGGACTAGAGCAATGTAGATAAAAGTACTTGTTTAGGCAGCATTTCAAACCCAGCTTCACCGACCCATGAGATTAAGCTAGTTCAAACAATGTTGACCCTTCAAAATGTAAAGTACTGCTGTTGTCAACCATTAAATAGTTTGTGAGCACACAGGTTTCTCCAGGGGCATTACAAAGAAGAAAGGAATTTGTTTGGAAGCAGAAGCTAGGCTTTCAAAACAGGAAAGGGTTAAAGATACGTAACACTGCAGTAACTGTCAGTTTTAACCTGTGGAAGGTTTGGGGAAAAACACTTCAGAAGTGACTTCAAAATTGTACAAGGAAGAGAAAGGATGTTTAGCATGAAATCCTCGTTTGCTGGGTATCAGCATTTGCTGTCTCTGTTCTACCCATCTCCCACATTAGGTGAAGAATCTGTGGTACTGCCATCCGTTATCTGGGTGATGGAGGTGCCCAATCAAACATTGCTCTAGTCAAAATTTAGAAGAGGAAACTTAAATAAAAGTTTTAATCTAAGATCATTACAAGCTGTGCTAGTATTGCTGAGTCTGGATACATGCACCAACCTCTGGCTTGTTGGGTGCTTGCACATAGATACACAGCGAAGTCTTTACAGCTCGTGACCTCAGTGCAAGTTTGCCCTGAGCTATCAGTTGAGATAAAGCACAATTGAGTCAGTGCAAAGCCAAAGTGAATGACATCACTGCAGAGGATCTTATTTCCAGGCTGTAATTGTATAATTTTGTTTTCCAAGGTGAAATCTTTATCTTTAGAGAGAGTCCATGTAATTAATTAATTATTTGGGCTGGTGAAAATTCCAAAGTAAAAATGGCCAACTGTAGGAAGGGTGCAACTTTTTGGCAGCTACATAAGCACAGACATACAGCTTAATTTCAGAAAATGGGCAGTGTCCCATCAGTGCAAGTGGGAAAGCTAAGGATATTTGGATCTTTCAGGACAGATGATCACAGTATGTGTGTATATATGTAGGCAGGAATCTGAAGTATGAGAACAGTCTGGAGCTTGTTAAACTTCGAGTAGGTTTTAAAGCAACTAAAATGTGCAGATTTGGCTTGC